AAATAGTCAAACAGTTCACATAAAAAAGCTCTCTGTAAAGCAACTTCATCTTCAAGTAAAACAGTTCACAATAAAATAGTCCAATCTTCATCTTCAAGTAACTAACATAAACAACGTCCTCCGTAAAGCAATTTGTGTCTTCCACATCTACATAATCACACAAAATTTATATTAGCAATTTAGCACAACTATTACTATTTTGATAATAAAACTCTAAAAAAGATACAATAGAATGTTTGTAGTTAAATTTCATACTTTCAGGCTGAGATCAACTACTGGACAAAGCACTTCAATTTGAATTTTAAAGTAGTAATTTAGCACAAATACTACTGACAAAAACTAGTAGCAATTCCGTACTTCTAAAAAAATTTAGCACCGGTTCTAAAAAAGTAACAATTACTACTGTCTGAGATAAAAAAATATAGCACTTCCAATTCGCTCGAATCCAATATTGACCACAAATAAGAGCTTGTACCATCTTTTCATAAAGAATTAATATAATATATATCAAAACAAAAAAGATACTCCCTCCGTCCCCCTAAGTTTGGGACGGAGGAGTGTGGTGTGGTTTTTAAGAAAAAGTGGAATTGTGTGGTTGGTATTGAATTGATAAAGTGTAAATAAAGTAAGAATGAATTCTAACCACTCAAATGTTACCAAATATGGTATGGGACAAACTTAGTGGGACGGACGAAAAAGGTAAAACGGGACAAACTTAGGGGGACGGAGGGAGTACTTGTTAACAAAAACAATGGTATTATTAATTTAATGTAATGAGAGTAATATAGAATCTTTTACCTTAGGGGTCAAAGAACTTCGAAATTGGTCAAGAGTACGACCTCCGGTGCTAAATGCCGACTCAGATGCTACAGTAGATACTGTGATAGCTAATATGTCTTGAGCCATACACGCAACCACCGGGAACCTCGGACTATGGATTTTCTACCATGTCAAAACATCTTTTTCCTCATCATCTCCCCTTTCCTCATCTAAATAACGATCAAACTCACTCCTTGAGTTATGTTGGGATCCACTCATCTGCTTAACCCGATCTTTAACAAGATTCATCAACATAGTGGAACCATCCGTTAAAGAAGATGATCTTGACTCATTACTAATCCCACTCTCATCAATTACGACGGGAGGAGCATAAACTTTTCTGTACTCTTCAAACAATTCATAAGCAAACTTCTTTACGTTCTCAAATAGAGTTGTTGCTTCCTCCTCAGTATAGGTATCCAAAAGCCCAATCTTTACACCCATCAACTTAAAGTTGGGATCAAGAATAGTACCCATGTAAATCAACTTGTTCATCTTTTCAATGTTTCCCCAATATTTGTCATACTTTAACTTCATCTTAGAAGCCATATTCCGTAAACCCTCAACTTTATCAACAAGACATTTCTTCAACAAATTAAGTGTATGACAAATATGGAAGAAAAGAGTATTACTCGTGACATACAAAGAGCCGGACACATTTTTTGTCAAATCATAAAACTCTCTGAGAAAAACCACAAGATACTCTAGAGTCGTCCAATCTTCTTGAGTCAGGGGGCCTAAAGTTTCCCTATCTTCCAATTCTCTAGTAGGTAGATCAACCCTCACAAGAACAACCTTATATTGCAAAACAGTGTGCAACATATCATATGTGGAGTTCCACCGCGTAGGACAATCAAGAGACAAGGATAAGTTACACTCAATCTTGTACTTCTCCACTTGTTGGTCAAAAACCATCAATCTATTGGGAGAGTTTTTAATGTATCTCACAACAGACCTAAACTTAGCAACACATTGAACATATTCCTTCAATCCGTCCCACACTATGAGATTAATGATATGCGCAATGCATCTCACATGCAAAATATTACCATCGCTAATGGCGCCGGTTTCCATCACCATATTTTTCAAATACAAACACACAACATCATTTGAACTAGCATTATCAACTGTCACGGTAAACAACTTATCAACTAAACCCCAAGCATTCAAACAATCATCCACACCCCTCCCAATTGCCTCACCCTTGTGACTAGAAATCAGACAAAAATTCAAGATTCTTTTATTCAATCTCCAATTGTCATCAATAAAGTGGGCAGTAAGACACATATAATTTATTCTTTGATTTGATGTCCAAGTGTCAGTAGTGACACAAACTCTCTGGCACGATTTGCTAAAGAAATCCCTCAACCTCAACTTTTCCTCAAGATTATCTTGTAGCAATCACGTGCAATAGTTGTGCGAGAGGGTATATGAAAAAGTGGACATGCAATGTTAACAAAATGTCTAAACCCAGTTTTTTCAACAAATCTGAATGGCACCTCATCAATAATAAGCATATGATCTAATGCTTTCCTAACTTCCTCTAGATTAACACCCTCCTTGAAACCCAAAACATTACCCTTCACCGCCATTAGGAACAACATAATTATCAATCAAGTGAGCTTGCTTACCTCCTTTGTTTCTATTAGCTGGGCTGTTTTTGCAATTCGCTGCATGATTTTTCAAATTTGTTGTTCCATTGACATTAGTATCTGCGGAAAATGTGTTGTCGCAATATATGCATTCTACTCTTAACTTGTTGTCTTCATCTAGATACTCCCAGAAGCATTTCCAGTACTCACCTTTCTTCTTTCTTGAATTTCTTTTCACATAGTTGCAACCCTCTTTTGGTTGTTTTTGCACATAAGCATCCACATGCCGAGGACCAGCTTCATCATAAGTTTCTTGAGGTACAGGAACATAACTTGTTACTGTTTCTTCAGAAATCATGCATCGCTTTTTGCCACGAGCACCAGAAGTGGGAATTGAACTGCTTGACATCTATTATTATAAAATACATCAATTAATACTCATTTAAGTGACTTATGGCATTGTTTTCTGTAACTCAAAAAATAGTAACTTACATGATCATAAAGTTGATTGTCCATGGAATTTGATAATTGCAATTTGACAGATCAAAAAGGCAACTGAAGCAATCAAATACTAAAAATTAAGAGAATACTTGCTGCAAGAAGGTGATGTTAAGTGTTAAGGATTTCATGTATGATGATACATTTTTTTTCAAAAGTATTACTTCTTTTTTTAACCAAGCATTTTTTTATTGAATTGAAAGAAGAGTTACAATGCAAAAATAGGAAAGAAAGCAAAAAGGAAGCAAGAGAAGAGGCATTCATATGCTGTTGTTGTTCTTGTGCAAGCTCCACGACTCGAATCACCTATGATTTGTTCAGGAGGATGTGCCTTCGTCCATTTCCACTCATGTGTAAGAGGGATTAGAGTTATGATGGGATGATCCGGGTCCTCATAAGTAGCAGATGGAGATTGATGAGGAGTGGAGTGCACAGGAGTTGTTGTAGTTGTCGGGGAGGTTGTATCCATGCCTCGATCATCAGGATCCACATGATGAGATAGAGATAGTGATTGAGCAACAGTTGGATCAGGCGGGAGTACTGGTAAGAGAGTATCAAGTTGTGTTGTTGTGTGTTGTAGAATTGATGGACGTGGATTCTCGTAGAAGTGTTCAAAGAGAGAATCGAGAACCACGCGTTCAGAAGTTGTTTGCAGGTTTGGATCAGCTTCATAAGATGATTGTTGTGGTACATAAAGAGTTGCATCTGTCAAGAAGTGTTCAGAAGCAAAGTCTGCCATCTCATAGAATGTCACATGTACACTTTCAATGACAGTTCACCGCTCTCAAGTAGATTATGTAAGCTTTTGATTGCATTGAGTATCCAATAAACACTCCTTCTTTGGCTTTTATTTCGAGTTTGCTTCTTTCAGTTCTATCATTCAGAACAAAACACTTGCAGCCAAAAACTCTGAAAAATGATATGTCGGGGGTTCTGTTGAAGAGTATCTCATAAGGAGAATTGTTGTTCTGTTTTGTGTGAAGCACACAGTATTGATGGTTTCAGCCCATATGAAGTGAGAATGTTTAGATTGTATAAGCATAGTACGTGATGGCAAAAAATCGTATACCTCATATATTGAATCTTCTAATATTACATCATCTAGCAAGTTCAAAATTTTCCCTAAAAATGTTTTGTGCACTCCTCACATCCATCAAAATCTTATTTTGGTCTCGTTAGTAGGAACTACTGGGCTTCCTTATTAGGGTCGTCTTCCTTGGGCCCTTGTGGTACCTATGGCAATATATATACTCCATCATGGTGATAATGTGCCCTAACATTAAGACAAGTGTAGTATTAACAACGTAACCATCCAATGCTTATGTTCGACAGAGCCAACATAGTCAAGTGTGTAAGGAGTAAATGTAAGGTGTTAGAATACAATTTTTAGCAAGTTGTGGTGCAAGGGAAGTAAATTCGCCCTCCGCCATCCAAATATAGTGTGTTTATTTAGTGCTAAAATAATAGTAGTAACAAAGTTAAAGTAAGACAATATACCATACATAGTATTGCCTTAACATTGATAATAATGGCAAAAGTATAAAATTAATATTATACTCTTCACGTAACCTAAAACAAGGGAGTTTGTTAGCTACAAATAAGGAGTAATACAAGGGGATAGAATGTCCACTTTATATCTATAATAACGGCTAAGCTATTAACAACCAAATGGATATTATTTACAGTTAGTAATTATATTATATTTATATGTATTATGTTCACACAAAAACATAACCGGGCATCATGTATTAAAACATGATAACAAGGAATAACATGTTGTTAATCATATGTATAATAATTAAATATCCATTTGGTGATATGCATGCATGTAAGTGGCCGGCCGGAGAGGCTGCTCAGTCCGAAACTTCTCTTCTCTTATTATCTGAACAGGGATATATAGTCCAAATATATTAAAGGGGTTTAATTTAAATGGTCTCCTTAATAAATTATAAAGTGTGTTTTGGGGGACCCTAATGTATTTTTGGTCGAGACACATAGGAGGCCGCCCATATCTTCATTCCTCCATCTTACTCCCATCACCCAAACAAATCCATGTTCTACAGTTGAATTTTGCAAACCGTTGAATCCTTCCAAAATTTGCATTTATTGCTCTTTTTCCTTTCCATCTTCTATTAATGAATCTCCATCTCTTTTGTTCTCATTTCATCTCATATTATAATAATAGTCTCAGCAGCTTTTGACAAGAAATAAATTAAACATACTATCTACTTCAATTCAACATACTTCTGCAGGCCTAGGAGCAATATAATGGCAGTCATTTCCCATCTTGGAGCTCTCATTGTTTTTCTCTCATTCCTTTCCTTGTTCCATGATTCAAGGGCTGCTAGGTTTTTAGGTGTCATCAACCATCAGCCTGCTGCAGAAAAAAGATTCCACCTTCAAAGCCAGGTTTGTTCATATATCTGATCTAACTTATTAATGATATTAGCTTGAATTGTACAGCCTCAACTCCATCCCAAAATCAATGTTCAAGTTTTAGACTTTCACAGTCTTCCATGTGTATGATTTGACTATTGGTATATACAATGTTTTTGAAAGATATTGGTATATACAATTATATATTAACGAAAATTATTACATAATTTTGTATTTCTAATATATATATGTATGTATGTATCATAAAAAAATAATTTTCCAAAAATACTTTGTATTATTAATATATTTTCTAATTTTCTAATAAAATGTCAAATCTTGTTTAGAAGAAATGAAATAATATGAGTATTCTTGTTTTATCTTAAAAATATGACTCATTTAATCCTAATAGAAGAATGTAAGTAGTTATAAGTTCTTTTTGAAGTATATAAGTCATGTTTTGATGAATAATAATATATAGTGATTCTTGATCTTTAGTCCTATAAAACTTAGGGGATTTCTCACATATTTTCTTTCATGTGCTTATCAACTTTTTTCTAATGGTCATATATTTTTTTCTATTCAGGACAAAATGTTGTACATAATCTAATATAAAGAAAAGTATTATGTATTTGTGTTTATGAGTAATTTGATTTTGGGTAATTTTTTTGTACTACATGTATATTAAAGTGAAAATTTGATTTTGCACCACACTTTTTAGACTATATTGAACTTTACACCTCATATTCATAATCATTAAAGTATGCACCACATCAGTCCAATAATTGTGAAGAAATGAGGATGCAAAATCAAACGATTTTATACTAAACGTGGTGCACACATGAATGATTATGAAAATGAGATGTAAAGTCTAATATCACAAAGACACCACTCGTAACTTCAATTCAACACTCACATATTAGAGCCTATGTGTTCCATATATATAAGGCGATCCAATCCGACTTTATGGCTAAATTTGGAATGTTAATTAATTTGCAGCATACAACAACAGAAGAGAGACTGGACCATAATGGAGCTAATATTGGAAAGGAAAGCGCTAAAGAAATTATTGGTGAGCACCTTCACCATGAAGAGGAGAAGGGCAAGATCATCAACAATAAATATGGGGTTGCTGGTTCATCTTCAAAAGCTTCATCAGTTGTGAGTAATTTGACGGATAAAACCGTGAAGACGAAGAAGAAGGAGAAGAAGAAGGAAGAGGGGAAGGGAGATGAAGTGATAACAGAGGCTGCAGTCTTCAATTTGGATTATTTACCGCCAAAAACACACCCTCCTATTCACAACTGATGGAGTAATTAACTTATTAACTGCATGATAATGAGAGAGATGAGATCGGCGGTCAGTCGGTCGGTCATCCATGCATGCAAAAAATACGTAATTAACTCATTAATTAGTAGGCTCTAATTAACCGACTAATACTAAAGCAAAAAAAGAGACTAATACTGATATACTATCTATATGGTGAATATTACTCCGCATAATATTCATTACACAATTACACATACTAATTTTCTTCTCTTTTTTGTACTTTGAGGGACCATATATAAGTATAGTTTAGCAACAATATATTATATGCATTCCAATTTTTAAAGCAATTTAACCCCTTTGTAAAGCTTTCAGCATACACCATGCCGATCCGGCACAGGAGTTTTTGCTATATAATCCCTCTTTTTTGTATGTACGATCGAGTTAATAACTCTTTTGATCTATAGTGAATGACATGCGATTCTGATATATTTTAGTTTCTGATTTTGTATCTCTGTTTTTTTTACATATTCAAATTCCATCATTGCAATTTAGTAGTAACACTTTGGTGTGTTGAATATATACGTGGTATATTTAATTCATTAAAAATAATTATGTATTAAGACGGAATAATTAATATTTTATGCTCAATCACACTTTGGAACAAATATATTATGCACCTTCTTGAGTTAGCAATGTGGGTCATACCAAGTTGAAAGAACGAGCAAATGACAAAAAGCCGGATCGGAGATATATAGGACAAGTGAAGTTACTAAATCGAAGTAAAAATGAGAGGGTTGAAAATATTCTGGATTCCAACACGTAATTTTTTCATTTTGTGCGCTGAATTTTGTAATAAAAACAAAAACTAAGGTTGACGTTACTTTTTGACTGTATTGACTGCATTACTCTAGAGAGTCATTTTAGTTCATTGTTTTTCACACACACAAACACACACACATACATATATTTAGTTTTAATACTTTGTATATCTTAATTTTTTCATAAAGCAATAGAATCAACCAATTCAATCACTTCAGTCAGAATTAGCAAATGCATTCAATTTGGATGTTACCAAACGGGGATCTTAATAATGTGGGTGTTTTTGATAAGGTATAAGGTGTTTTGATTAATGTATCACTCCAAACTACATTCAACGTAGTACAGTTAAACTGTATGAGGTATTGGAATTGATCAGTAAGAACTAAGAATAATAGTGTGTGAAGTGTGAACTGCTTGTATTAGACTAGGATTCGCCTGTAAATTGACTCGCTAGTGTGAAAGCTAAAAAAATGCACAATGAAAAACGGAAGTCAAAATGTCACCCCATCTATGATTTGTGTGATTTTACATGTAGATTCTATGGTACCCATCTATAAGGTACCATATCTTTGTCCACATGGACCAATGAGAATGTAGCAGTTGAATTATTTAAATCTAAATTAAAAATGATAAAGTGATGTACGTAGTCCAATCAAATGAATGATAGGTACGGCACCCCATATTTTAGAAATGTACCGGAGTTGTCACCAGTTTTATATCAATGGTGGTACCTTCAAGATGTCATAAGCTTTGTTAAAGGAAGGTGCATCCAGTGACGGAGCCAGAAATCTATGGTTAAGGAGGCCGGTTCTTAAAAAATTTCCGTTGCAAGGGCCAAAATTTAAAATATCAACATATTTTCTATAGATTAAAAGTATGTATACATAATATATACTTGAGATTTTTTTTCTTACAGGGGCCAAGGCCCCCTCCAGCCCCTCCCTGCCTCCACACCTGGGTGCATCATTTAAAGCTTCAGTATTTATACATTTATACTAGACGTGGAATAGTGAAATTAAAATTGTATAACTAGTATTTGAATAGAAGAAAGAGAAATAACTTTATCACATATTTATAAAATAATGCTTCATATATATTTTGTATATGGAAATGACAATTTTTTTGGTTGATTAATTAAATTAAGTTAGCAAAATTTTGTGAGAGAGGGAGTGATATGAATTGAAGAAATGAATCTTTGCTTTTAGTTGAAATTTCATGCATTAAAATTTTGTGGGAGAATTAATGTGTAGATTAAATTCAAGACAACCAGATTAAAAAGTTTGTGAAGGGCCGCCGTGGAAGTGCCTCAGCTCAACTAATCGCGGACACTCTTTTTCATATGGGAGCTAGGGAGGTCTTGATTCGAAACCTTACAAAAGTCCGCAGTTTAAGTCATATTTACCCTAGTCTGTATAATAAGGTTGTGAAAGGAAGAACTCAATCTCCATATATAACGACCAATATTAATTAAAATCTTTTTGATAAAATTTGTCACAAATATATCGAAGAATTAAAGACGTGGTGGCAAAATACGTTTGCATTATTGTCTTCTTTTTACATTTTCACGTAAAAATGTAACCTTAGACGTGTTCATATCAATTATCCGTTAACTATAGTTAGTGACAATATCTTTCACAGATGTGAAATATCAATATTATTGGCTTTGTGCTGTGAGTTGTGACCTTAGCTTCAATTCCTTTAAACAAGTATGTGCATTATAGAAATTAGCTAGTAAAGGCAATTAACTAGGTAATTAGAAGTCATCATATATTGACACTTGACACATATCATCATAAGCTATCAATTCTTTTGACCCTAAAATATTTATCATTATAATGCCGCATATGTTTACTACGGAGTAACATATATTCGGATCCAAACTTCTCCATGTTAGTTATTCTTATATTAAACCCTTTTCTTTCTGGATAAAAATAAAATAATTAATGCATCGGATGTTAAACGTAAATTTTCTAGAAATAAAATAAAAGGACTTCCTACAATTTCTTTTAATTCATGTACACATTTTAAAATTGTCAATTATTTGGGATTAAGGAAAACCGAGGTGTTGTATACTTGTATATCATATCATATCAATTTGTTATTTTAAAACTATGTATAATGTTAGTTTAAAACACAATCTTGATCAATTTCCCTGGTCTGTTATGACAAAAACAACGGTATGTGCATGAGACATGCATGCTTTAATTTTATAGCCATAAAGGACGACAAATGATTAATACTCAAAAACGAAACTGCAAATATATCTAGATCTTGTTGAAAATCTGAAATATTGACAGATTGAGCAATGTACGATTATCTACTGAAATATTTCATTAATTATATTATTATATGATTCCTAAGTTATTTCATAGTGTGGCCCACTGGCCCATGGTTAATCATAAATGAGGTCGCTAAGGTTGTTACATTTATTGTCATTCAGGACCGATGAGGTCTTTGTCTTAGACACTATCTTGTCCATCCTTGACCTTGACATGTTTGTAGGTCGGTTATGACTTATGATATACTAACTTTTTTTATACTTTCCTGTCTACTACTTGTTAGTCCATTTCAGTGGTGTTTGAAGATGATTTTGCTTCTCATTCTTTTTTAAAAGCTGGTCTCCCCCCACTTTCAAAAGAATGACTTCTATGAGTAATTAGAGCATCAGAAGTACTTATGCACTTTCGCTCAAATACTCCAACTTCTGTTTATTCTCCCTGTAGAAGAAGAAACAGTTTTAAGAATAATATCCAAACACCCCCTTAATATTGACCATGCACTGATTTGGCTTTAAGTTTTTTTAATTAGCAAAGCTATACTATTGTGATTTATTTAGTGAAGATATATATCATATATATATGCTTAAAAGAAATAAAGAAGAAAATAATCAGGGAGACATGAAAAAGCAAATCTATTTTAGGAGCATGGAGATAGATACCATGCATTTTCATTATGGATGGTAAAATAGAGACCTACCCGATCAGTCAATTTTTAGTTTTAATGAAAACAAACAAACAAAGGAGTATTTAAGACAGTGAGATGTGGCCTACTTGACAAAAAGAACGTGCCATGAATTAGATTTAGTACATTATTATTGCATCAGTCATGCATGGTTCGACCATTTTTAGTGTCAGCCACACTTCTTTTAAGATGCATCTTAATTTTTATATGGTTTATGCATATACAAACAAAATTAGTTTTGTACACAGATGTTTTTGTTAAAGGATAGCTTATACTCCTCCGTATAAGTCTAAAACACAATCAAAATGACACGATAGGAGTTGTCATATCTTATGATCTCGTTCCTAGCTTGTTCAAGTATCACATGCTACTATCGAGCTGACATTTTATGCACATTGAAAATCAATGTGATTTTTTTTATAGTAGTTGAGATGATGTTCTAATTGTTATTTTTACATACTACTATTACATTTGAACAATTTAAATATTAATAAATATAATAATGATATAGTGATTGGATCAATCAAATGTTTTACTGGTAGAGGCATATACAAAGGGGTATAGGGGCCATCGACCCCGGCCCACAAGGCCAACCCCACTATACATATATGTTGGTTACATAATATGTGATTATTGTCAATGAAGTAACTAAAACTCTTTTGGGTGGAGTGATTTGGAGTGTCCGGTGTCCTTTAGAGTTTGAACACTGTCGGGCTCAAATCCCCCAAGCAGTGTTATTTTTGTTTGATTTCCCTTTTGAACTTGTAATGATGTGGCGCTCAAATGGTGATGACATGGTAATGGAATGCATTAGACCATCTCCAATGGTTTCTCTTGAGGACTTGCGTGCTTGCAATTTTTAAGCTCATAACTTACAATTGGAGCGTTACTTCTCCTTTTGCTTGAGAAAGCTAATTAGCCAAAATGAGTTACTAGTTTGAGCAAAGAGAAATACTAAATATAAAACTATTAATAATAAATGAAGAGGAAGATGTCATAGCTTACCATTGGAGTACATTTTAATTTTGCTACAAATGCTTATGTGGCTAGCCAAGCTATGTGGGTAATTAGCTAACCGCTAGAGATGCTCTTAGTAACATGTAAAAATTTGAGGTGGAGTAATTATTAACGCATTTATGCGTGAATGTTCTCTATATTTATTGGCTGACACCCTCACCTATTAGAGGGCAAATTCCTCCACAACAAAACAACTCTTGATAACTCCTTTGTATCACAAAACATATCAACAAAAAGAAATTACCACTCAATCTTTTATAAATCTTAACATTTGGGTTTTATGCTGAGTCGCCCCTAAAATTGGTGTCATCTGTGAAAACCATAAACTATAAGTCCTGCTCAAATTACTCATCATGTAGAAGTCTTTAAGAATTACCATAGCTTTATTATCTTAGACTTGGGTTTCTTGTGTCTAATATAGAGTTGTAATGTATGATTATGTGATTGGTTATATTTCATATCATCATAATCATTAACTCAGTGTCGCAAAGGCTTCCACCTACGATGAGGTAAGGAAGGTTCGGGTGTACTCAAACGCAATCTAACCCCTGTGATTTGTTATATTTCACATGCAATGTAAAATTTGAATGACATGATATACGTTATCTAAGAAATATATACTTTTTTTAATGAAAGGTATAGTATATATTAAAATCACCCAAAAATAATATCATACAATGTATCAAAGA